AGCTAAAATGAGCTTATTTTATTCATCTTTTTCTATTACTATGGATCCTTAGTCTTAGTCGAAATTTGTACGCTTTTTATTTGAGAAATGATTGTGCTGAGGCGAACTTCTAAAAATGAATCTTCTCTCATTAAGAATGAAACTGGCTGTTAACCACTAAATTCGACGCAGAGAACACAATTCCGGTAACGCTGATCGCATATTGCTATTAAATAAATATAGAGGTGAAGAGACCGCCATCACACCACATAGTTGTAGTCGCGGGGATCTAGTGACCAGTTTAGATTTTTATCGTCATTTCTATTACCCACGTTGTAAATTTTATCGTTAACCAAAATGTATAATATTTCAAGGTGATAGAAACTGGGGACTTTTTTTTTTACTTTTCATTATCGCAATTATCACACAAGCGTTGTTTCTGTTATTTTTAAATGACTGCTGATTTAACAAGTTAAGTAAAGATTTTCAGTAATTGTCCATTGTGCTCTTTCCCATTTCATCTTTTTGTGTCACATAGTAGATTTGAACAATAAATCGTAAATTTTAAGAGCAATTGTGGATACCCTTGAGTGCATCGTTCATATACTAAAAGGTTTTACATTTTCAAAAATAGTAGTTCCACTTGCGCTTTGAGCGACTGTCACGTTGAAAAAAGGGCAGAAAAGAGTTTTTTTTCTTTTGAAAATAACGTCATAAAACTTTAATGTATATACATAGTCGTGACCTTGAATTATGGTGACCAAATTATAAGTCCATATCACAATTAAATCTATTTTGATAAAGTAATTTATGAAATATAGTACAGTGTTAAATTGTTTTATTGAATTAAACTTATCAAAATTTTTGGTCATTCTTCATCTTTAGAACACTTTCTCGCTCCAATATTTTTTGCTTTGTTCCCAGTTGTATTGAAGTAAAATTCATTTGCAGAATTTGTAACTAAGTCTAACTTGATTTTAACTTTTACTGAAAATAAATTATAATACTATATAAACGGCCATTTACATTGTTAAATCTCAAATCTTTTTTTGTGAAAAGGGCATTTATAACAATATTATATCAAATTGATAATTTTTTAATTTACAATTCATATTCAATAAGTCATATTTTGAAGTTTGCTTTCTTCATATTGTTTTTAAGTTACTAAAAATGTTGTTGTTCAGTTCGAAAATTATTCAATATTCAGATTTGAAGAAATTGCTGAAAAACTATGGAAAATAAATGATTAAATAAACTATGCGTGAGTTATATTGACTATCGATCAATTTCCCATCCGCCATTCATTTCGGATCTATCGAAAATGATCCAATATTGATCTTTTCCACACAGCTGCTTCAAATTCTCTCTTAACTAAAGGTATATGAGAGAAACAAAAGAAAAAAGTACTTCCAGGTGTATTCAATTTTTCAGAGTTTGAACAAGCTGATACTTCAAGATTCTCTAATCACTCATCCTTTGCTTTCGAATTATATTTACAACTTTATTTTCCTTGTATTGTTTTTAAGTTATTAAAAATTGTTCTTATTTAGCTCGGAAATAGTAACTTCCCGTTAAAGTAATAAAACTTAGGTAAGGATTGAAATTTATGAAAAACTTTTTTGTGAAAAACATATTTGAAGCGATGACGAATAGAATCTTAGAAGTTGCGAAACCTCACAATTCTTTTAAGTTAATCTTTCAGAATAGAAGGTCTGGCACAACTTTTGAACAATTTTAAAATGCAATGTACAAAATTAAAATGGTTTTTAATCCAACACATCTTCAGTTTCTGTTACTTTTCAGAAAGTAATTATTTAGTAACAATTGCTCTTATTCAGTTCAAGGATTGTAATTCTTTTCATTGTAATAGAAATTTATTATCGTAGAATTTAATCCAGTTCCATAACCATTTTAATCTCAATTGACTCAAGGTCATACGTACTTTCTTTCATAAGCACACAAAATTAAATTCTCTTTCCATTCTTCTATTCATTGCTTTCATTAGATTACAGCTCATATTAATTATTTAGGACCCTTTAACACAGCAACAACAGCACAACAGACATAGTATAGAATTAATGAAAAATAATTTTTGTCTAAAATAACTTAAGTGTTCTGAATTTTCACTGTGAATAACGAAAAGGAGTTTATTCCATTATTAATTTATACTTCTCTAATACATTTCCTGTATTTTCATTTTTTAAAAATATTCGCAGGTGTTAATAGCTGAAAATTTTCCATTTTAGCAATGATTTGGACTAACAAAACATACAAACACACACATACATACATACACACATACACACACACACACACACAGTTAGTGTTGAAAAGTTATTGATTTAATGTTTGTGAAAGTTTGCATTTTGCTAGGCGATACTTCAGTTTCCTTTCTCCAAAAGAATTTCACAACGGCTTATGCATGTTCGGTAAAGTAAGTGAACATGCAAACAAACACACAAAAAAACTTGTTTTTAGTTCTTTAGAGCTCACATGCCATGCAAATATTTCTTTTTCCATTTTCTCAAGATTGCACCAATTTTGAACAAAAAAACGTTTTTATTTTTAACATTTTCAAGTTATTGAATGAGTATATATTACTAATAAATAAATGAAAAGTTGCAAAAGGAACTCCACTTATTGATATGAATAAATTCATTGGATAAAGCTAGCAAAATTGATTAAAAGATAAAGTGAAAAAATGTTTTAAAAATAAATTCGTCAGAAACAGAATCTTAACAAATTTTATATTATCTGAGACTGAAGCTATCATCAAGTAATAACAGATAGTTGTCGTTTTACCACAAAAACCCAAAACGAATGCTTACAACTACCACAAAAAGCAGCATGAAATGTGATTCACAACTGCTGAAAAAATCATTATATTCAATTGCACAATAAAATTTTAACAAATAGGAAACTGTAATAAATTTAGACAGTTTTTTTGATTTTACTTTTTTGCATTTTTACCTTTTTCCAGGTTTAATATCAAAAAATGGATTTTATTTTTTTTGTCAAATAACGTCTATAATATATTGGTGAAGCGATTGATGACATTTCTTTGAAAATTCCAGTCGGATGGCTTTCATTATGCATTTATCGTTTTAATAATACCAATGGGCTATTTTTTATTTTTTAGAAATATTCAAACAATTCATTGATAATATCATGCCTTTCTTATTATGTTGAGTTGTGCTTAGCATTAATGATTCGTTTTAAATTCACCATCTTTTCATTTATTTAATTTCACATATGCCAAATAAGTTATGAGAAAACTGTTTATCTTATCAATTAAAGATAAAGTAATAATGAATTTAGGAGCCTGTGCATAATCATGAAAATTTGAAAGTCCATATTTCATTTTTTTTCTCTTTTTTTAGAATCAAAAAATGTAATTTCCGGCTATGCGTTGGCAATAAGTCCTGAATTAAATTTTGAAATCGGTGTTTTATATTCATAATTACACATACATATTTGGAAATTAAGAATTTTCAAATTTCAATGATATGCAAATTTAAACATTAAGTGACTGGTCATTGAAAAATACCGTTAAATAAGCTTCTCCTTCTTCTGATCCATTTTTATCCTTCAAATCTGTCAGGATTACCATCATTATTCAGTCTGTTTGACTTTACACTATGCTTGTGGCCAGACGAAAAGATTTCTTCTCGATAACAGTTGTGGCTACACATATCATAAACAACATTATAATACATAGTGAGTGACCTGACTATTCATATCTTCAATTTTTCATTATATTCATTGCTCTGAATTGACCATTACCATTAATCATTAAGTAAGTACTTTGACTTACTGCAAAATGTTATCAGATCATAGCAAATTCTTGTTAATCATACACTTTTGCTTGTACATTTTTGCTTTTTTATTCCTCTTTGAGCATTGCTTATGTTCCTTTTATTAGCTTCTATTTTGTTCTTCAATTTGATGGATTAAAATAATTTGAATTTGCAGAACTTAGCATGTACTACTCAATAACTACTTTTCAAATAAATCAAAAAATTCTCTTCCGTTTTTTGCATGAAATTTTATCAAAATAAGTTTCCTTGAATGTTTTCTTTTGTTTGAGCAATTCATAGGTGCTCCAAGATTATTCATATTGCAGGCGTATTGTGTCATCCATCATTTCTACTTTCCTCCCCTCGATACTTTTCCTTGCTAACTTTGATTTCTGTCCAAAATTAATGATTATTTTGAACAATTTTTAACTTCATTACAAAATGTGCATAACTATAGACCTGTCTTTAAGTGGTAGATAAGCATGAATAAAGTCAAAAGTACTATAATTCTTGAAGATTTTTGGGCTCAACAGAAGAAATAACTAAACATTTCCTTGTCATTGTTAAAACGGTTTCCAAAATTATGTCACACAATTTGAAAAGAGAATGTATTCATATCATATGCTCACCAGTTTCTGCTCCATCTATTTTCTACCTTTACAAACAATCTCTTATATTAGTTAAAATTAAAATTCATAGAAATCACATTATCGTTTTCTTTAATTTGGAAAAAAAAAAAGAAAATATAAAATAGTACAAACTATTATATTTTCTAGTTATCTTAAGGTTTGGTTGCTAGATTACATTATCAGTTACTGCACTAATGATCGCTTACTTGTTTCCATTTGTTTGCTATACTACTTTATTGCCTTAATCAATAAATATAACTTTGAAATGACTATTTAGTTAATTATGAAGTGAGTTTAAAAAAAAGTGAACTAAAGTGATGTATGTTGAGTTGATGACCAAATCTTAATGCCACTTTTATTGATAACCAACTAATCATTGATAACTGATTGATCCATCTAGTGAAAAAGTAACTTATTTCTGTCTTGCTTTTAATCATGATGATTATCATAAATAAATTTAGGGTTGGATGACTATTGATCATTTAACAGTTTGGAAGTGTTCATCAGTCTGGTGCTGGTATTGGGACTAAAGTAACTAAAAATATATAAAATATTTAAGAAGAAATTTGATAGAAATTAAATCGAGACATTGGTAATGGCTGCAATGAAGGTAAATGGTCATGTCAAAGAGACGGAAACCTCGAAATGTAACTGTTGTCCATTTGGGTTTCACATAGATCTTGGATTTGTTGATTTTGTAGAAAACGTTGCAAATGAAAACAGCCTTTTGACAGCTACGGTACATATTTTATTTGTTGATTTACTAGATTTATTCTTATTCAAGTAACACTGCTAACATATTTTGTTTACTTTGCAAGTTCTTTCAATTCCACAATACTCTCAAAATCTTCCAAATTGTTCATTATAAGTGCAGTAAAATTATATAGATTTCTTTTGAATAGATTGCTAATGAAAATTTGGAATTTCCTAATTTGAAGTCAAACAAATTAAAATAAATTTACACGGTTATATAGCTTGAAGAGTTGAATTTAGAATGTTCCCAATATTTCCAGAACGATGAAAATGGCCCACGAAAAAATTCATTGAAGCACATTGGTGATCAGAATGACACCTCCGAAAGATGTTACCTAACTACAAAGCAATTGATTGAAAAGTCATCGTTTAGCCCGTTAGATTCTATTTTTAGGTCAGTTTTTGAATCTAAGGAATTTTGGTTAACAAAAAAATAAACAAAAATTTGGCAAATGCTGAAATGCTATTCTTATTTTGTTACGTGGTTTATAAGATTATCTACATCCTCTTTTCAATGTTCTTTGAGAAAGAATTTGTTTGAAATGAGAAATGAAGCTGATTCATTCATCAAAGATAAAGGTGGAATTTTGACACGAATTTCATTTCCTGTTGCTGACCAACAAACAGATATTAAGTTATTAAAGACGTTGGAGCTATTCAAATTAGTCGAAATTTGATAATTGATGTCAAACGTTATCGTTGAAAAATTTCAGTGACTCACTGGAAAACGTAGTAAGCGACTTTGAAGAAACACTGAATTTGCGAAAAAGCAATTCAGAACGAGAATCACGAGATCTGCTAAATAATGCACGAAAAAATGTACGGTGCAATGGTTATTTTTCAGATTATGGTACAACGCAAAGTAAGAATCGGCTGTTGCCACCAAAGATGTGTTAGTTTTTTTAATCTTTCAAAATGATGAATGTTATAAAGATGTGCTTTTTATTGCAGTAACCATGAAATTTTCTGTGTAACTGAATAGATTACATATTTACTTGAAAAATAGCGAAATATGATAATTAAAATGACTAGTGCGAAAACTAAAAATGAGGGATCGAAATTCTTAATTGAATTTCCCTGACATAGTTTGAATATTGGAAGTTATGTGGAGAAACTTTTTTAATGATAGAAAGATTTTAAGCTTAAGTTATAAAACTTTTTCCACTAATCAGAAACTCTTTTTACTAATCATTTCCTTTCAACATTGAAAAGGAGCAAAATAGTAAGTAAAAATCTAAAAGTTCAAGGAACTCGAAACAAAATGATAGAAATAACTGAAAGTAATGAGTAAGTAAACTAATCATTTCAATCTCTCAGGTATTCCTTCAAATACTTACAGAAAGATGATATAATGTTGTTAAATTCTTGTTCTCAGTTTAAAAGCAGATAACCAAATGAACTGTAAGTTAGCCAATATGTTGAAAACGATTGAAAATTGCAAAAAAAAAGTCATCATTTTACAATCTTAAAAATGTTGAAATTTTTTCAGCACCGCTAATATCACATGAGATAGTGAAACGAAAACATATTAGCCGTTCACAGACTTTTATAAATTCACACAACGGTTTGTTTAGGATTTAAATTAAACTTTAATCCAGTTTATACATCTTAATTAAAGCCAATTCACAAAGTTATATCAAAAAAATTAATCTAGTAGTGGTGAAACCTTCATTTTTAGGCATTGTGCCATAACCGAAATAAAGTATTTTTCAGATGTTGCGTCATCATCGGGGAAACCTGTACTTGTGTCTGAAGTGCAGCAACACGGTAACTTAAATTATTGTTACTTACTTAGGTGACTGATATGTCACTGTTTTTGCTCAAATTTAATGAAGACTGATGTAGAGCATCACTGTATATCTGATTGCATTCAATGTAGATTTTAAGATGCTTTTCAATTATTAGCAAAGGAAGAGGTAATAACTGAAAATAGGTATATACTAATTACTCCCCACAGAATGTCTATATATATATATTATTGAGAAGAATAATGATTTGAAGGAAGAAATTTGATTCATTTCTTAATAAAATGATTACTAAGGGTGAAATGTCATAAAGTCAAGAAGTGTCAAGCAATTACAATAATATAATCATTCGCCTGCAAAATTTACTTCATTTATTCATTCCTCAATTATTATCATTTATATATGTTATGGGTTTGATAAGCGTCATAATCCGTTGATATACTTTCCACTTTCCGATTAACTTTACGCATCTTTTTTTAGATCAATTCTAGTTGCACTTACATTCATTTTTTTAGTTTAATAGTGTTTCTTTTATTAAGTAGTTAACGAATATAATTTGCCTTTAATATTGTGTACCAAATGTCTGATGAAAAAATATATCTAAGTTGTCGAAAAGTCCCAAAATTCAAAATGATGAAAATAGTTGTTAATAGCCATTAATGAATTCAAAAGTAATGCTTTTCCTTTAAATATGCCTCATAATTTCCCTCTGCAATGAAATTAAAAAAGAAAATAATTGACTACTTCCGATTTATTTTGATCGAATCATTGAAATTATTGAAACTACGCAATTCCATTCCCTTCCTTCTTAATGCATAAATAATTTCTATAGAATATCATACTGCTTTGGGAAGAGCAATATCAAAAATCAAATCAAAGCATCAAAACAATGAACTTAATGATCACATCCAAAAAACCTTATTTACAACAAACAGCTCTCAGGCATCAGATTTTTGGAATATGGAAAGTCGAAATTACAACATCGGTTTATCCCAAGAAGTTTCTTTCACTTCATAGCTTTCTTTTAACGAAATTAATGTTGTGAGGGCCAGTGCTTTCGAGATGATTATTTTCATTTAAAATGCGCTTAGCTGAAATTAATCGGACTTGAGGAAAACAACTTTCATGGCCTCTTCTTTGCAACTTTTTTTCTAAATCCTAAACTTAAACATGATGTTTATTTTTTTCAACTTTTCGAGGTACACAACTCACTTTTTTTCATTCATTCTTTTTTGACAGTTGGAACATAATCGTTCATTGTACGAGCAGGGTAAGATGCATTATTTGGGCAGCAGAACTCCAGATGCGCCACGACGTTCACTCACCCTCGCTTCATCATATCAGTACCCGAGTGACACAGAGTCAGTGCAGCAACCGCACTGGAGGATACGTCGTTCACTGGTCGAAAGATCATCCAGTGCTGTGGACGTCGACGGGTTCGTTAGTATGAGACGTCATAAAGCAGATGATAATGCTTTCAGAATGGGTTCTAAACAGACACTTGTCCCACCCATGCCTTATCTAAGAAATTGCTCACTGTTCTCAGTAAGTTTATTTAACAATTTGTTTTCTTTTTCCTTCCAAATATATATGCAATTTTTTTAATACACAATTGGTATATAAATTTTTATATAAAAATATTAATTGAAACTTTATCAACAATTAATCTTGATAAGGCATTGCTGAGAAATGCTTCTATAGTTTTAGCTTTTCCTAAGAAATCAATTCATGATTGCGCTAGTTTTATTCATTATTCTCAAAACCGATGTTAAAACAATGCCTTATCTCATTTGATTGGTTGTTTTGTGAAGGAAATTTTAAAATCTACTAATTTCATACTGGTAGTTACAGGAACGATTAATACGTGATCGAAGTTCACCATCTTATTTATCACTAAATTTTTCAATAGCCGAAAAATGTTCGATCCCAAGCAATATGAGGGACATAAAAGAAAGCAAAAGAACATCCGTGAAAAATATTTCAAATGAGTAGAGTTCATATAACAAATTATTTACAAATAAAATTGTAGTCTTCACTACTGCTTTAATTAATTTCATAAATCCATGTCACATAATTGATTCTTACTGAGTAAACTTCAATTGCAATTAAGTCGAAAAGCAGTTGAAGTTGAAATTGTTTTTTGCTTCAACATAATTTAATTCTTTGTACATTATTAAATGCTGATATTCTATCTCTCTTCTTCAGAATATTTTGAGCATTTTAAATAACAAGAAAAGTTTGCACATTTTTTGCAGATCTGTCGAAAATAACTTTGTGCAGTCAGCGAATAAGGATGCATTGGCAGTAGGTTCAAATGATCTCAATAATGATGTCAATGCCAACGGAATATGCTTTCAGTGCTGCAACCTTCAAAAACAGCTGTCTGATTTGTCGTGCAGGTCATTAAGTCATTTCCATTTGCGCACACCATCCCAACATATTTTACAAAATTTTTTGTTACAGTGCATACCTAAGAATTAAAGATATTGGTTATTTTTAAGTTTACTTATCGGCTTAATTAATTTTGATTTTTTTAAGTTAATTAACTAATTTTCATTTGGCAACATTGATTACCGAGGATTGAGCAAAGGGAAAGATGAGAGAAAGATTCTTAGGGAGCTATTTTAACATCAAAAATGTGTCCTCCTCTGTTCTCTTCAATTAGGTTAGGCAGAATTTTCATTTAAATTAATTATGTTTCTAAATTGTTAAAGTGAATTAAGATTAAAAGAAGCGACGGATGAAGCGAAAAGTAAAATAGTTGAAAATCAAAGAAGGAAGGAAGAAGAGAGAGTTATTGTTGACAAAAGTGTTGGAGGCTCATGTGAAATGCTTTATACCGAAAAGATAAAGGAGGGGAAAAAAGACACTGGCACTGATGCATTGCTTATCGAAGTTGATGATAAGGTTATTGCTCTCGTTCAAATGAGATTTTTATTCTTTCTTTTTTGGGAATTATAATCTGTTTGCTGAAACCATCTTATCACCACCAAAAATTTATAATAGATAATTTTGACAATTTGTGGTAGATAGACTGTTCATAGTAGTGATGTTCACCGTGCGAATTTTTACGTAAGCAATTTTCTTTATAAATTTATTAATGTTATTCTTCACTGATAGGAAATATATAGTATGTACCTTTTATTAATGCTAATATGATTATTAATTATTGCCAATCAATTTTTTTAGAAAAAAATATATTTGGAAAATTATCTATTTATGCATTTATTTAATGTGATTCATGGTCATAAACCTTTTTTTTTCTCTATGTAAAATTCTGAAAATTCAATATTATAACGAAGTTATAATTTGCAGAGGACAAGTATATCGTCGGTGGATCGAGTCGAAATGCTTTGGTATAAAGATATCGCCAGTTCACCTGTTTCAGAACCACAGTTCTACTCGACTGGAATTACAACTGACAAACTGTTGGCTTCTTCTCGTGGCTCTGCGACCGATTTACCGAATCAGGAACTGCTGGTTATTGGGCCAGAATGTCATTTTGAATGTAGCGCTGAACCATTGGTCACTAATGGTTAGTCGGAATATATAATTTTCTTTGCATGGCTCATTAAAATTCCAGTCTGATTCATTTTGCGCATTAGTTTGGGCAATAAAGATTTATGGCAAATCATTTGCGAAGGGATTACAGTGGGAAAAGATTTAGGGAGAGGTTTAGCTGTATTTGAAAACTTTAAACATCAAAAATAAGATTGGCAACTTTAATAAGTCAAAAATTTACATTTTTATTTATGAAACCGGTAATATCAAATATTTAAGTTTTGAATTTATTTATGAATAGATTATGGCTGTGGGAGTGATATGTTTACTATGATGTGTGATTTTTCGAGTATGACGGATGCTGTCGAGCTGGTTGACTCAGAAACTGGAAGTAAACAAAGTATTCCTTTATTCAAGGATTCCTCATCCATGACTACTCCGATTACATCCCATTCACGTCACATTCAAACTGAACAAATCAAAAAGAGGTAGCTCATTTTTTAAATACTTGTTATATTTTGGAGATGCCTTTTATTAGGCCTTGTATTTTGTACTTTCTATTAGTAATTAAAATGGCCAATTGAAGTAATTTCTTAACTCATTTACATCTATGTTATATTCTAAAAGTAATATTGCTATTAATTAAAATTTAAGCAAAATTGCTTAGTATTCCTTCAGATTCAAATAAAATTTAAAAAGCTTTCATTTCTGTTATGATTTTAAAATATCTCATTTAGTAAAATTTAGTAAGTCACAATTTTTTACAGAACGGTGTGCATTTCCACATCACCAATGTGTTTGTTAAATCATAACATCGGTACGGTACAGGTAACTCAGAAAGATTCCTACACAGTTTGCGATGAATTGATGACACGTGATTTTGTTGATGCTTTCACTGGAATGGATGTTGAGGAAATAGGACAAAGGATATGCTACACTACTGTCGCATCCCAAACAGAGTTCGGTTTGTTTTAATTTTTTGTGGTTTTTTTTGTGAATTAATAATTAGAAATGCATGTCGGTTCAAATCTGAATACATTTATAAGCAATAATTAGTAAGCAAAAATACTTCCCTATTTGTCTCACTATATTGTAAATTACCTGTCTTCGAGTTATCTATTAATTTAGGAAATTAAGGAATAATATGAAAAGCATAAACGAGAAATTGTACTCAGGAAAAAATTGTTGTTAGTGATGTTGCTTATTAGTCATTAATCAAAAGTGATCAAAGATATGCTTTACAGAACAAAGTGAGCCACGAATAATTGATGATAGGGAAATAGCGGAATCGCTGTGGTTGATTCCACCAAGAGATAGGAAGGATGTAGCAGTGGGTAACGAGGATGACGTTATCGAGGTACATGAAATACCTCCACCAGCACCGGATGGAATAAACCATGAAAAGGAAATGATGTTAGATAGTGATGATGACGATATGGTGAAGCTCTTTTTTTATGTCGTTTTGGATTCTGAAGACACCATAAACTTTTGAGAATTTCACACTTCGTATATACTTTGACATACATTAATTACGTGGCCATGAAGAGTGAAATTTTGAAAATCCGTTCTTTTTTTTTTTTTTTACATTGCATTCTCATATGAACCATTTGCTTGAAGATTTGTGTAATAGAAGAAACACTATCGGATCCAGAAGATATTGATTTCAAGAGTGCGAAGTCTGCGGAGCAGTTGTCGTTGGAACAACGTATTGCAGACAATTTAGACGTTAAAACTAGAAATGAAGTAGCCGCAAAGGTCAAAACACCTCGAGCACTTGGTCACGCTCGTGCAGCCATAGTTAAAAAAATGCTCACTGAAAAATCACAACCACTAAATTTCATCCGTGGTACAGCAATATCCAAATCTTGGCGATCAGCTAGTAAAAAAGGAGACCCGCTGCAGTACATCGTTGATCAGCATGAAACACAGGTAAATTCAGTTCTTGACATACCACGACTCTTTCTTTAGAGTTCAACATTCTACTTAGTAGACCTTAATTATGATTAAAAGATTGAAATTTTTTAAGTAAATTCAATGAATCACCACATTGTTGTTGGTAATTTAAGAATTAAGAAAATACAAATTATAAAATTGATGAGAAAAACTAAGTGAAAATTGCTTTAGATTTGCATGGAAAGCACGGATAAGTGTTATTTGTTCTTTCCCGTAGTTCGCTATTTTTAGACAGTTATGGTTTTTTGTTAGCATTTGTATAAATTGATTTAGAGTAAAATTGCACTCAACCCACTGTTTTCTTTTTGGTTTCATCAAAATCTGTGATCTGATTTATTCATTTGAAATGATTAACTCTTCCGTAAACAAAATAATTCTTGAGAAAATGGAGGGAGACAGTAAAATTTTCTCCTTTATTTTACAATTTTTCGCATAACTATTCTCAATAGTTCATGCTTCAGCGCAATTCGGATTCCTCAACACCTCAGACAACGAAAGGTGCTTTGAAAGAAAAAGTCAATCTTAAGAGAGATTTTGTATCACCACAAATGGAATTATCGAAGGTCCCAGAGCCGGTTCCAGCTCGAATACCACGACCTAAAATCAGCAAATACATTCCTGGAGAAACTGTACCACAATCACCTGATGAAGTTTGTCCATCGTTTCATTAAGATTTTGATTTAATAAATTTCTTTCTATACCAATAAATTGATTTTGAAATACGTCAATTTTTTTTAAAGTTCAAAGTTTTTTTTTAAGGTTTGGTTCAAAGACTCGCACTTTTGTAAGTAATGATATGCCTCTAGGAAGCTGAAATAGCCGATCGACTGACCCCGTTACGTTCGGAGATGCGTACTCTACGAACGTATTCCAACGGAAGAGCAGTGACGTTTCCTCGATCGGCGCAACTCCTAAAGAACGTATCACCGAAGATATCTTCCCCAGCCTATGAAAAAACTAATAACTCAATCGTTTTTGAAGACAGGTAACGTTACTAGACATCGTTTCCAAAGGTTTTTAATTTAAGTCACACAAAATTTATCTCTTCTAAACATTCTTAATCAAAGTATTTTTAACCTTAATTTCTTAACTCGTTATGAGAGCTAAAAATACCATAAGCAGTACAGACGATTTGCAGCACGAGTTCATCTTCCGATTCGGAAGGTTCATATGATACGAATGAGGCAAGTACAGCTGCTCAGTTTGAATTAACACTGCAACTTAATGAAGCGATCGGAATCCTTAAGAATCACTTTCAGAAATCGGATCCAGTTGAATCTTCTTTGTTGGTAAGAGAGCTGAAATTGTCACCATTTTCTTGTGATTTTTGTTTTTAGGTGAGTTTCACGAGTTAACATTTCGCTTCATTGAAGGATTGGGCGACGAATCATGCCAAACATGAATGGTTAAAAACGGCAGCGCGGAAAACAGCATCAGCGGTTGAAGTGGAAGGTTTCATCGATATGTTGGAGGCTACATCAGATGCTGTTCTTAAATTTGTTATCAATCTGGCGGATCCCAATGTTAATTCATTTTTCTTTTAAATTCTAAGTGTAAAGAGAGAGAGAGAGAGAGGAATAGAATTTTGAAGAGAAGATATGCAAAATTAAGGTTTCTGGTAGTGAATGGCTGCTTATTATGAATTTTGATTAAAATTTTCAGATCGCATTGAAATTTGAAAATTTAACAATCTGAGATTTGTTACAGGGGAATACTGCTCTCCATTATGCAATATCTCATGGTAATTTCGATGTTGTTAGTGTTCTGTTAGATTCGCGAGTCTGCAATTTAGATCGTGCTAATAAGGTCAGTTTATGAACCTAAATGGAAATTCTAGGTAATATTACTAATAAACAGTAGTGATCCTAGATCAAATTTTGATATTTCGAGTATTCATTAATAGTGGATAAAGTTTGAATCACCTGGTATCAATTAAATGAAGTATTTAGGCGGGATATACACCGGTGATGCTGGCATCGCTCTGTGATGCATCCGATGAAGTTGAGACTGCTATTATTCATCGACTATTTCAGTTGGGTGATGTTAATGCTCAAGCTGTTCAGGTTTGTCTTCTTTTTAAATAATCGAAAATTTTGTAATATTTTCTTCACAAACATTTTAATTCATGAAAAGTTTAATCTTATATTACGAGAATAGTAAAAAAATTTTAGAATGTTTAAAAAATTTGTTCTAAATATTTTTAACTTTTGACTCAATTTAATAAAAATTTTTGATGTTTTAGCACGGACAGACAGCATTGATGCTGGCTGTTTCTCATGGTAAAATAAACACGACGAAGTTATTGATTGATTGTCAGGCTGATCTCAATATACAGGTTTGATCAATCATTAATTACATGATGGATATAACGAATGATTTTTCCATAAATTTTTCCTTTTATTTATCGTTTTTGTCATAATTTGAAAATTCATGGAGAATTTACAATTCAGGATGAGGAAGGCTCTACAGCATTAATGTGTGCTGCGGAACACGGTCATAAAGAAATCGTGAAATTATTACTTCTACAGAAAGATATTGATGCTTCACTTTCTGACTGTGTTCGTTCTTTCTTTTGCTAGAATATTTTTAATTAATTCCTACTTATTTCACAACATTTTCTTTGCGTAATAGCGTGGAAATGAACAAAGATAAAGTCAATTTTTGCAACTTCTACAATTTATTGATAACTTGTTCTTCCAAAATTTACCGAATTCAAGGTTTGAACTCATTCATAAAATTAAATTTAAACAGTCAAATAAAGGAAAGCTGTTTTGAAAACTTCAATAAACATTATGAAAGCAATAGTTTGCAAACAGCTGGCTTCATTCTGAGAAAATAGGTATGTTGTTCTGTTAAATTAATTTAATTGAATATCATGATGAAACCTAAACTGATTAAATAGGAACTATTAATTAAACAACATTTTAGGACAGTTCAACAGCCTTATCGATTGCGGTAGAGAATGGTCATCGTGATATTGGTGTTCTAATCTATGCACATCTGAACCATTCGTGCAAACAAAATCAGAAGCAGCAAAAGATAGAATTAACTTCGTGAAATCTCGATCATTGTCATGTTTACTTGTTTCGATAGCTTACCATTCTAGGAATAGCTTTCTTTTTTTCTTTTTGTTTGTTTCGATAGCTTATTTTCTTTTAAGAGTTATTAGTAGACGATGAACTTTTTGATAGCTTATTTTATAGCAATCGAATTCAAATCATGTGAAAATTTAACGTAGATTTAAATCATTTTACAGTCGTCTTAAATAATTTATACAAAAATTTAACTAATTTTTAAAGCATCATGACTAAATCGTTCACTAGCTGGATAGAAAAGAATATCGAAGAATTGATTCAGAATAATTAAATTATGATAAATCAAAAATTTTGTTCAACTTTGTTTCTTGTTATTTCTCTGTGTGAATTTCTACTGCAAATAAACGGCGATTATTTACTCATTTAGTTAATTTCTTAATTTCTTTAAATACTAGAAGATCAGACTAAAACAAAATATGCAACTTGATTTTGAAAATGATATTTCATGCTTTTCAGGAAATATTATCCTTACTTATTTCCATATTTCGATTTTTGTTGGGGATAAATCCGCTTGAATAAAACACATTTTAAGCTTTAAATCATTTCTGCTCAACGAAACATATTCAAGCACTTTGGGGAAAAGTGTTACAAAACTATTCATTTGATCGAATAATAAAAACTGGAATAGTACAGTCCTGTAACAGTTAACCTTGGGAAGTTTCGTGTTTAACAAAAGTTACAGTAGAATTCATAGTTAAGTAATATGAAAGATGAGAAGTTTAAAAGTATACAACTGCGTTAAATGTTTGGACATAGTACTGGACTGTATGATACTGCTTCGCTAATTTAATTGGAATCGACATTGAAAAACTACAAAGAAGTGCTTGAATTTTTGGAAATTTTCACTGGTGTCGGGGAGATGAGTGCTAGTTACATTTGTTTACTCTTGTTTTTCCTTAAAGAACAGAACGAGAAAGTTCAATTGAAGCAGTCTGGTAGAAGAGCTGAAATTGGAAGAGTGAATGATAGTTGGCACTAAGCTATACCGATGATACAGAGGATGGTATGTAGTGCAGGTATGGATTTAATGAATAGGTGGTACCGAGTATTACACAGGTATACAACTACGATAAAGAGCAGATAAAGGAAAGGGAAGAAGGAAATTAACATTGGTTAACGACGAGTCATTCAGTAAACATTTGGGAGGGAATCAGTTAAGTTAAGTTGACTTTGACCATTCTTCAGTTATTCTGTTCTGGTGGTGACACTGATGAAAAACTAAGTAAATAAAGGATAGGAGAGGCCAATAGCAATAGCAGGAAGGAAAGTGACTATACAACATGCCGATAGATGATACAACACATCTGTGTACATGCTAATCATCACAAAAGTTAGTAGTTACCTTTCCTCTGTCACTTTTGAAAGGTACTCACACTGAGGGGGCTGATTGTCTACAACTATGACAGCTATTTTGCCATCCGACTGCTTTTCTTCATCAGCCATTTCTCTCTCTCATTACCGATTTTGTCAACGAGACAAAAACTGTTCTTCCGATCTATATACTTACGTAAAGCAATAAGCACAGCAGTAGCAGTCAATCAGTCAGTGGGCTAGTTAGTCAACCAATCACATAATTTTGAAATTCCCGAATTTCCATTCATCCTATTGTCATTCAGATTGTTGTAGAGATGGAGCTATCAACCAGTGTATCAGAAGAGGGTTGCGTTACTGCGTACTATTAATCATGGGACACGGGACAAGGCAAGATGTTGGCATAGCTGAACATGATAACGATTAGGCTCTAGTTTAGAGCCTAATCAATTTGCATAGAGCTTCAGCCGTGCCACATTAGGCCATCTCTCGGGTATCCAATCTCCTACTCTACAATCTCAACTATTTTTTCCTCTAACCGTCAATATTACTTCTTCCCACTGCAGAACTCAATATATCAGGTATGATATTACTGAAACAAAGAGAATCTGCTCCATAAATTGGGATGTACCGGAAATTTCTGAGTCAGCCGAATTTTGTAATCTCCACAACCTCATTTTTTTTTCGGCCAATTGTAACTTACGGTTATTTATCATCGACTTCTAAATACATTTTCAGAAGCAGTAATGAAACTGAAATTAGTGTTTGACATAAAATTTATTAATTTTTTTTTGCAGAGAAATAAAATTTTAGAATTAATGTTTCATTCTAAAGTCTGAAAATATATGATAGATGCTTTTCTAATTCCTGAATATTTGACAGCTTTCAAGCTATAAACTATTAAGATAATAAAGACACATTTCAGGAACAAAAATGCAATATCATAAATGTAGAAATGTAATACAATGGTGTGATAAGACAAGGAAGGAGAACGAACGGATCGGCAAAACAGGATTAATTTAGCCATTTTTAGAAATTACACTAACATCTGCATTATATGTGCAAAACACATATGATATCCTTCTTTAGGAATACTATACATTGGATTGATTTAAATCAGTTTATTAGTTACCATAGGAAATAATTTGCCATTCCCACCCAAATCATGACTATGCACTATGCATGGTACCAAAATTACGAAATTGATATAATAAGATATATGAATATATTTAATAAATGAACTTAATTAGAGTGTTTTAATTAGATACTATCTGTTTCCCTCACTATTTTCATCGCCCTCTTTCTCATTACCAAGTTTATCATTGGGTAAATAAGGAAACTGTAACACCTTGGCACCTTGTTCACAACTGTGATCCCATGATCTGTCTGCATTTAGATCTATTGTTATTACATCATTCAATGCCTGATTACCGCTGTCGTTATCGACATTGTTAATAGAATGTACCGAAAATCGCAAACTACTTAGATCAACCCGAACATTGGGTAGACATATTTCATATGCTGTCAACCAGTGAAATTTGGCACGACGAGCTGGACAACATTTATCCTGAAAGTACAAAAACTAGCCCAAATTAAATTAGCTCAGTTCCTTGCTTTTCTAATAAAACTTGCTAGAGAATTTTCAGATTATCCAAGACGAAATATCATAATCTCTTCCTATCTCCCAATATCGACTCTTTTTCCATCTTGCTTAACTTCGCATTTTGCTAAATAAAATCTTCAAACATTGTAAGCCTTTTAATTGAAAGACTTAATGAATTATTAAAAGCTAAAAAAAGAGACGTATTTTTCAAATTAATATCTTGTTAAATACCACTAATTATGAGGAAGAACTAACATTATCTTGTACAAATTTATGAAAGCAACAACGACTGAATGCATCGCCGGGTGAGTTAATTGCAGTACTATCGTTCAGACAGCATTTGTATTTAGACTGCAATTGGAAAATATCAAGATTTAAGTATCACTGAACAAGAAGGAACTTCTCTTTTCACAAGTCATTTAAGAAATTCTTCATTAAATCCTTTCAATCTATAAGTTGTAATATTATTATTATTCCTCTAGTGTTAACTTAATAGATCTACTGAGATACAGCCAAACATCTAGCATACCAAAAAAGCATTCTGTGTTTATTACAGAAAATTTTCAGGAACGTATCCTAAGCTAATTTTGCAATTATATTTACTTAGAATAAAATTTTCTTGTAACATTAGTTACTTAATAATTATAAACAAACCTGGAGAAATTTCTGCATGCAACACAATTCAATAGTAGCATTTGTGCAACGTCCCGGTACACATATATCCGTTAAGTAAATCCCTTTATCACAGCATTTACTCATCTTATCTGCACCAATTCTTTTTTTCTGAATGATTGAAAGGGCATTATATAATAAACATAACTTAATCTCTGGATAATTTCTTTTTTTTTTTTCAAGTGTTATCATTTTAGAAATTTACTCAGAAAATTTCGTGCCTAAGATTAGGATTTGAAGTACCTGCTCGATGCATACGTGATCTGTAAAAGCAGCGCACGGTACTTGATGCTCGAATAAAAATTGCGAATGTTCTAGAGGTTTTGTATTCAGGATTTGTGTCTGGAAATTCAGTATTTTTTAAAAAGAATAATAAAATTCGAAGACTCCTAATTCATTCATTCACAGATTAAAAAATAATCCATTATTGATTTCTTCCTGAAAATTGATATCACTTCTCATTCTTCTTTTCCTCATGTGATTTATAGGAAAATATTTAAAATTAGTCTTTGAAGACAAATGATGAAACATTAGATTATCAGCCTACTCCCTAAAGACTTCGCAAAATAGCAGATAGTTTAAATTGAACTTCAGATCTGAAATCAAAAAAATGTGCTAAAAATTCAGTAACCAAAAATAATTCTAACCATTTTAGTTGGAATGATAGTTGTTTCACTGGCTGCCTGCGAATAATCATAGTCACTTTCTCCATCTCCTACGTCATACAGAATTGAAGTTTTCGCTGCTGGATTATTGGAACCAAAAGGTACTATCGTTGTCTTTGCATACTCTAAAAGTGAATTCTTCAAGAATGATATTTAACGCCTCATCAATAAACTATCATAATGGTTAGATACTGTTATTATCACCTTCCATATTTTTTATCATTATTGGAACTAATTCTTGCTACAAAGTAATTCGTTTTTGGTTGCTTGGTGATATTATTACTACTTATGCAAATGGCACCGAAATATCAACATTCTAATACATCTTACAGTAATATTTGAAGTGGTGATTTTTGCCGGTGATTGAAATTATCAGAGAGTTTTGAAAAATTGACCTTGAAGATGCTGCTGATGTGATGAAACTTCGAATTGTCTCCAGTTATTCTTATCTTTTGAATCAAACCGACGTTGATGTTCTTCAGCACTTACATCAGTGTAAAATTCGCTTACTGTTTTTTGTTCATGCAATTTTCGCTGTTCTTCGATTCTTTTTTCAAGTTCCTATAATTCAAATGATTTCTTTGTTTAATTCTTGTTGAATTCTTATGATATTTATTTCATTTAGTATAAAATTAAGGATTTTTAAATGAAACATTCCTTAGAAACTATCACAAACAATTAATTAAAAAAATGTCAAAAATGTAGCTTATT